TTATTAACACCACTAATCTGTCACAATACGCACAAACCAACATTATCGAGAAACTTTAATTAAATATAGCTGCGCCATTACAATTATGTTATAAAAACCTAAGATGTACCGACATGATAAAGTTCTGCGAAAGAAATCAATTCTGGGATACCACAGAGCAGGTGAACAAAAGTAAATTTTTAGTCTTAAGTGTTTATTTTGTTATATTCATACTTTCTTTTCTCATTTCTTAATAATTTTTCATTTTGGCTTTCGTTTGTTTTATTTTGGCTTTTTTTTGTTTTATTTTGGGTTGTGTGGATGCATGTATATTCTCTCATTTCTTAATAATTAGCACATGTAGGTGATACAGATATGTATGTACCTTAGATTTTACATATGTATTTGTATATACATATGTAGCTACTTCAATAGATATCAAGTGATTAAAAACCTAAAAGTTCCAAAACTTTAAATTTTTTTTGTTTCTTACTTATTTCAGTCATGCAAGAAAGGTGCATACATATCAATATATGTACATACAGTTAAAGATAAATACGCACTTCTATGCAAATATATATCAATATGTACATACGATTGACATGAACATTTTTAAAAGCAAAACACCTACATACATTATGTATATTTATGTACATACAATAGAAATATACATATTATACTAAATGGACATAGTGTAGGCAAAAGTCTATATCTATAGTCTATAAAAATCAACGAAGTAAAAATACTAAAGGAAGGAGCATCTTGAAAAAAAACAACGAAGCCAAACTTTTTTCCAATTGTCCCGTTCTTTGCTCCGATCAAAGTCGTAACAGGAGCATAGTTATTTTATTTTCCTGGCCTTTACTGCAAAATATGTGTAATTTGTAAGAAGGATAACTTGAAAATTAGTCAATTTACTTGTTAAAGTAAAAACTAAAGAATATTTCAAAATATTTTTTCATTTTAGATACCTGTAAGAAAACCAAATTTAAACAAAACTCATTATCTTTTTTTCTTTTGATTTTATTTTATAAATTGCAAATAACTATAAAGTATTTTTGACATTTTGACATTTTATATCACATATCTATTGCTTAGATCAAGCATTAAGCATATCGCCAACAGGCGCAAATAAAAACATCATTTAGTCGCAATTATGCAACTATCAGTTATCAAGCAACAGTGTCATCATTTACAGGAAAGGGAGGGAAAAAAGGGGAATGTAGGAAATGTAAAATAAATGATGAGCACAACTTTATAATAATAATACAAAAAAAACATAACGATTAGCAATAAAAGGAAAAAAAAAACCAACCACCATGCAATAAATAGATAATATAGATAAGTAAAGACGAGAGAGAAAGACAAGAACAAGAAGAAACGAAAAAAATACTACAAAACTAAATTAGACCAAAATTTAGATTTAAGAGTACCCTTACTAATAGCAGGATCAAATACCGAACGCAAAGTTCTAGTAACCGGCTCAATCCTACCATAATCAGTAGAGTGATAGCGAACATTGCACGACTCCACAGACCTAAGATCCCTTACGTTATCTCTAATAGAAACCTGCCTCAACAAAGAAGGGCCCTCGACAAGAGCTGTGCCCCAAGGACTGCAAATCAATCAACATTAACCTAGCCTCATACGACGGAAGCCTAAAAGGATCAGACCAGCCCAAACCCCTCAAAGCAAAACGCAAAAATTTCCTCTAAACCGATTCAAAACGAGAAATATCCACAACACTGACAAGCATATTCGAGAATTGGCCTAACAAAGGATACATACAAGTGCTTCGCAACATACGGGTTCACAAACTCTCTAGCCCACCTCATTACGAAACCCAGCTTCGAGTTAGCCCTACCAGGGATCATATTCAAATGAGCACAAAAATCCAACGTGCGATCAAGCATAACCCCAAGATCACAAAAAGTGCCCACCCTCTCCAATACCACCGCACTAAGGCAATAGTAATGGCGGACAATAGAACGCTCCCTCCTACGCGAGAAGCTCATGATCCGACACTTACCAATGTTAAGTTCCAAGCCATTGACCCCACACCAGTCCCAAAACCTATCCAAATCCCTCTGTAACTCCAAACATTCAACCTCTGACCGAACCGTCCTTACCTGACCGTAGTGTGGAACACGCAACAGAACCAAAAGCATCGTTTATTGCAACCAAAAAAAGTATGTGACCCAAATGGCTACCCTGCGGAACACCTGACCCGGCACAGTAGACATCAGACAGAGCAGAACGGAAAGAAACCCGATAAAATCTGCAAGACAAATAGGAGTAGTAGGAGTAATGACAATATCTTATTACCCTCGAAAATGAACATAATTTTGTTAAAAAAATTCTATTATATCAGTTTTGTTTGACAATTTTACTGATTAACTCTAAATAATATTAATAAATTTCATATATACAGTATTTTAATAACTCTAAAACAGTATAATTTTTAACAAATTTTAATTAGTATGATCGTTGAATTATTCATACTAATCATTATGATTAGTATGATTAGTATGAATAATATTTTATTTTGCTTAATGAAATCAACGGCATCGGGATGTCTTCATATTATTGGTAAACATTTTAATATTTCATTTTATCATTTCTAGGAAAACTGTGATTATACAAAAATAAAAAAAGATCAATTTAAATATTTGTTTGTATGCTACATTCTGTCAAGCACAAACTCAATTTGCTCAAAAAAAGAAATAACAAAAAAAATCCGGTCCTGATAAAATTATGTCATCTGAAGTAATTTTAATTTAAAACAAAACAATAACAAATATTTTCTTTGCAAAATTAAAAACTTTATTTTGAAGCACTATTGAATAATATCTTTTTTAATTATTGAAATGAATAATATTCACATGCATATGATAAAATAAAACTATTTGTTTTTACAAATGGGAATAACAATTTAGAACTATTCTTTTTTAAAAATTTTTTTTCTTTTTTTGACTTGTTATAATTTTTCTATGTTTTTATAAAATAATATTCTTTTTTAACACTTATTATTAAATATTTTATAATTTTTTTTTTACAAACTGCACTAATTTTATAAATAAAATAACAAAATCTTCTTTTGTTTACTTTTTATATAGCGGCGCGTAATTTTCTAAGAAAAAACAACATTTGGCATTTAATTTTAATTTCAGTTTGACGATGCTCGGAGCAAAATCTTATTTCTAGATCAAATGCTCACGACAATTCATTGTTCTAACAAAAGGAGTCGAATTTTGGAATTAGACTACTAGAGCAGATTCCTTAAAAGAATACTACGGAAATAAAACTATTAATTTTTAATGAAAGTTGAAATAAAAGCATACATTTTGAATTAAAACTGTATTAAATTGTATTTTGTATTGAACGTTTCTAATTTTTCGGCACAGCGTGAGATTTTTCTTTAACCTTATGTTACTAGAAATTAATTGTGGTCAGCCGAACAATGTTTGAAATTAGCAACTTTCATGATTACAACTATTAGTATAATTTATCTTGTATAAAAATATAAAACACTCAATAAAACTCGAATAAAACTAAAAAAAAAAACAAAAAAATAAAATGAACAATTCAAACTTTTTCATTTTGAAAATTATACAATATTTCAAGATTGCATCTATAATATTCAAGTAAGAAAAAAGTTTCAAAGATTGATTAATATACATATGTATACATATATGTACATTGTAGCAAATCTGCGAGCATAAAATATTTCTTTATGTTACAAATACTATATGTTACATACTATCAACAAATATTTATATTTATAAAGAATGCAAGAAGATTTTTAAACAAAGTCGTATTTATATATATGTAGATACAGCGTTGGTCAACTAAATAGCAGATGAAATTGTTTTTGAGATTTTTTTATGAAAAATAAATAAAACATTTCTATGTTTTCGAATTTTGATAACAAAATTTATTGCTTTATCAATTTTAGGCATGGAAATAAAATATTTCGAAATTTGAAGAATTGACGGTAAATTCAATTCCATTAAATCGTTGCCTAGACAAGTAAATAGCACATTGCTTTAATTTTACATCACCCTAGAAGTAAAAATCAATTTCTTAGGAAATATTGAAAAATTTTGATTTCTATATATTTATCTTTTTAATATTTGGTACTGTTACCTCAATTATTAATTACGGTCTGCAATCTGCGAGGCATGATTTGAATAAGCTTGTGTATTCCTTCATTTGAAATTGAATCCTTGTATACGGACCACAAATCATCAAAATTCTGAAAATTTTGAGTTTGCAATTTAGCTTTCACTTCATTTCACACATGACCTATTGAATTCAGATCCAGGACCTGAGCCGGCCATTTCAAAACATTTATATTTTCCTCGATAACCCAATTCTAAACCAAACGAGCCGTGTGTTTGGGATCATTGCCGTGCATAAATGTCCACCTAACTATTTATCCATTTTTGTACAAGGTATTTGACGGACAAATACCCAGGTATTTGTCCATTTATATAGACTATGGGTCTCTTGCCACGCTATTAAAATGTACCCACATTTTAATATTTCCACCAAAATGCTTAACTGTTTTTTGTGTGTAGTTGGAGTTAAATGCTTGGGCTTTTCGGCGATGATCAAATGATGTACCATCTGGTCCGAGCCTGTTGATCTTTGTTTCGCGAATTTAAAGGACATTTTTCCAAAAAAAAGGAACGTTGTAAACCATTTTTCTCGATCTATTAATAATTACACTGACTTTTTACGGTTTTACCATTATTATAAAGTGAGGATATTAATCTCCTTTATTCTAGAGTGCTATCATGTCCTCTACCCATTTTTTATTTTGAATTACCATAACTTTACGCTTTACTTTAATTTTCTTATTTTTCGCATGTGATATTGGCACCAATTAAATAATAAACATCAATGTACTATTTACTTGTTCAGACAACCATTTAATCGATTAATTTTTTGTAATATTTTTTTTATACCTAAAACTGATAGAGCAATATATTTTTTTTAATTAAAATCCAAAAACATAGTAATATTTTATTTATTTATTACAAAAAAAAATGCATGTGACTAAAACTGTATGTACATATTGCCAATGGATTCAAATTTGAATATATTGTTCGAATGAACCCCTGTCTTAAACAAATTATAATTTTTGCACTTTTCTTCAATATTAATTTTTAAATTTTTTCTAGTTTATTAATTGTAATTTTAAGTCTTTTCTTTTTTTTTAATTTTTATTTTAAAAAAACATCTTCCATCACAAAAGAAAATATATTGCTTGAGAAAGATTCCCAATGTGATGAATGATGAGAAAGGAATACCATCATAAATATATTAAATTTTTAGTGAGGAAAATTTTCTTTGGGCACGTAAAAAAAATAATATAGAAGGATTTAAAAATGAGAACTCAGCTGTTTTTAAATTTTGAGCGGAAAATATTCTTTGTACACCCAGCGCTGTCTTTTTAAAATTTTTTTGGGTACCAGTAAGTCAAATTTTGTTGCAATGTGAATATGTAGATTGTAGACTTTCACTGCATTTAATGATAACATATTTAACACATTGTTACCATGAATTTTTCAGATGCTCCATTTATATCTTAATCGAGGTTATCTATGTGAATACATAAATACAAAAAAAAATTATATTTTTAATGTTTTGCAATAATTTTTTCATTTACCAACACCGTTGTCGAAATTTTGTTCATTACCCAATAACTTAAAATATTCAATTTTTTTTTGTCTTTCAGTATTTTTGCGGCCGAACAGCATAGCATGTACGAGAAAATATGCGAGCGCAAAAATTTTTACACACAAAATAGAATTTTGTTAAACTTAGACTTCAAGAAAAAAACTAACCAGTTTCAAGAAAGAAAACTAATTTACAAATTGACAAGTGTACCTATCTCTTTGCAAGTGAATATATGTAGAAATATGAACATGAATTCTGCAGATCTTCCTTTTTGATTTTTCGCACGGAATACCTGCATAAAAATATAAATTGTAATATTTAACTAGGAAGTAGAACTTTTTTAAATTAATTTTGCCGTAATCAGGTAATACTTAATAACTAGAAATTTTTGCAAATAGTTTTTGCTCAATTTTAATAGTTAGTACTTGCAAAGGTTGATTTTCAAAGTTATTTTTGTTTATTTAATAACATTTACAAGTTTTTTTCTAATCAAGAGTGTTCTAATAATCCAGTAGCCAGCCTTTCGATATCATCTAAGCTCATCTCCTTTATTCGTCGATCAAAGTCTTTCATAAACTCAGATGTTAATATTTCTGCTTCTTGTTCATTATAACATTTTCTAAAACTTCTAAACATTATATCTTTCAAAGGATCAGGCTTCTTTACAACCTAAACAAATAACCTTTAAATGTTAAATAATTAACAAAATTTTATAGTCGAACTCACCACGGTCAACCTTGTGTTGTCAGAAATTGGATACGATGCTATTTGATTTTCATCAGCTAATGATCTTCCCATCAAAACAATTTTTTGATGAATTGCAGGGATTTTTAGTTGTTTTTCTATCTCATATTTTAATTCCAATATAGTGTTCTCAGGCTTAATCTAATATTGGACCCACCAAATTAATTAAATCGTTATATTAAAAACATAATCTTACTTTGACTGTACATTCACTTCCTCTTAAAACTTTTATTCTTAAGTTCATTTTTATGGCTTGAGCAAAAATCCTAATTACTTACTTTATTAAAAATAAAACACAAAAGTAATTGGTTAAATAAATTATTAATTGAAAAAAGTTATACTTTTTGTTTTGATAGAACAATAAAAACTTTTCGAAACAGTGATTCTCAAATAATTGTTAAAATTTTTTGCAAACTCTTGGCACCGTTTGAAATATATTTATTAGGCGAGTTTATATGCATTTCAAAGATTGACAATCATGATTGAGATTGATCGAATCTACATTTACATGTCAATCTTTCTATATGCCACTTTAAATTTAAAAACTTAAGAAACTGTTTATCAAATGACACATCACAACAAAAAACATAGCTGATCACATCCCATTTTATTTAAAAACTTATGTTCACGCCATTTTTTGTTTTATAAGAAAAATGATTGACGAAAATAGAATTAATTTCTATTTTTTCGTCATTAATGATTTTTTAATGATGTTTACATTGTCAATCTTTATCAATCTCAATCATGATTGCTAATTTATGATTGATATGTCAACACTGACCTAGTATTAAGTGATAGACCTTATCACTTAAGAAAAATAAATGCCACGCTACACAATTTGACAATTTATATAATTTTTTATCAAATTGTAATTTTACAACACTTTTAATTTTAGGCACAAAACTGTCAAATTATTTTGCTTATTATGTGCATTTAGTGCCGTGAGAGGCATTTTTCCAATTCAAAATGTACATTTTTGTACATTTTAGTTGTGCTGCACGCGGACGAACTGTATGCGACTCTTTATAATGGAGGCCAGATAAAAAAAAAAAACAAAATAAATATCCTTCTGTTACGAGTTTGACAATGCTTGGAACATAGAAAGAGACAACTAAAAGAATTTGGCTTCATTACTTTTTCAAGATGCATATTTCTTTAGTATTTCTAATTCGCTAAAAAATTCTTATATAAACTGGATCATGGTTGGTTCATACACAGATGAGAATTCTATATTACGGTGTAGATGAAGATTGTATCGCGTAAATGTTATATGTAAAATATTGGATATTAAATCAAGTTAAATATATAAGAATTTAATTTTTTTGGTTACATATTGAACGCCCTTAGAGACTAGGCTTGAATTTGTGTCACCGCGCAGTTGAGCAAACAATAAACTTGCAGGTTGAAATATTTCAGCGAATTAGTAAAATGCTTGTGCATACATTTTTATGTTGAGCAACTTACAGGCGCGTGATAAGTAATTTTCAAAAAATGTAATTTTTGAGTTATTCCATTTTTGCCGCGCTGTGTGAAACTTAGAGAATGGGTAAAACTTCAAAGGACAAGCGAGATATATATTACAGGCTGGCTAAGGAAGAGGGCTGGCGAGCCAGGAGTGCCTATAAACTTTTGCAATTAGATGAAAAGTTTCATATATTAAAAGGTAATTTTTTGAAACGTGAATGTTATGTACATAAGTGAATGCGTTGTAATTCAACAAACTTTTATATGTATGTACAAAGATGTTGTTAGAGCAGTAGATTTATGTGCTGCTCCAGGAAGTTGGAGTCAAGTTCTTTCAAAGAAATTGTATGAAAATCGCAAGAGTGAAGATGTAAAAATTATTGCGGTCGATCTACAAGCTATGGCACCCTTGCCTGGAGTAATTCAAATTCAAGGCGACATTACAAAACTGGATACTGCAAATCAAATTATTCAATATTTCAATGATGAAAAGGCTCAAGTGGTTATATGCGACGGAGCTCCAGATGTAACAGGCTTACATGATATTGACGAATACATTCAGTCTCAACTATTGTTGGCGGCTTTAAGTATAACAACACATGTTTTAGCAAAAGGTGGTAATTTTGTTGCAAAAATATTTAGAGGAAAGGATACGAGTTTATTATATTCCCAGTTGAGAATTTTCTTTGAAAAGGTATCAATTGCCAAACCAGCAAGTTCAAGAAATTCCAGTATAGAAGCTTTTGTCGTTTGCCAAAATTATTCGCCGCCGATAGGATATGTTCCACAAATGATTAATCCTATGCTTGATGACGTGAAATTGTTAGGTATGTTTGTAAAATTTAATTTTAAAAAAATTTAAATATAATTTCATTAAGTTGAGGAAACCAATTCTGATGTTAATAAACAGATAATTCCATTTATTGTTTGCGGCGATTTGAGAGGATTTGATTCAGATATGTCCTACAGTTTAAACGTGGGTTTTTACTACAACATTCATTAAAATATTATTTCATGTAAATATCTTAGTTTTCAGACGATGAATCAACATATACTTATCGTGAAGTTGTTCAGAAACCAATATCCCCTGCTTACCAAGAAATATTGGACAAAATGAGAACTTGCTCATTAAAGAATGGTGCTATAGTCTTGAATCGAATTGAAGAAAAATATTCTCAACAAAAAGCTAATAAAGATGAAAACAATTAAATATATTCTCGACAAACAATTAAATATATTAAATTTAGTTCTAACGTTTGTAGGGAATATAGCGTTTCTTAAAATGCTGAAACATTAAAAAAGAATTGTAGAAACAATTTGCAATCCAGAAATTTTAGTCAGAAAAATTGGTTTAGTATAAGATTAAATTTTTTGCTTGAAATTTTTTTAGAACTGAAAATATACTAAAATATAAGTTTTGTAAACAATAATATAAAAATGTAAATTATCAAACTTAAAGAAGAATAAATTATCAAAGTACATATGTATATATTTATGTAGGTACGTTGGTACCTGCTCGAAAACACAAACAAATTGGGAAAAGAAAACAACATTAATTCTTTTTATAGATATAATTTAGATTTTTATTTTTTATTTTTAAGTAGTTTATATTTGAAAATTTCTAAATTCGTGCTGGATATAATTACATTCATAAACAAAAACTCTTGATCCTGGGGATCAGCACAAGTATCTGTGACGGCACAATTTTTGTACAGCCAAGCCATTTGTTCTCCGCCGTTTTTAACTTTTATTGTCAATTTTTTTCTATTTGTAACTTTTAAGATTTTTGATTCAATTTCGTTTAATAATTGAGGTATGCCGGTTAAGGTTTTTGTGGAAACCGGTTTTAAATTTTCACTGAGGTTTTCTGGCATTCTTTGTATTAAATCAATTTTAGTTCCAACATTTATAATTCGTTCCGGAGAAATTGCTCTGTTATGAACCTGATTTATTTGTGAAGTTAAAACTTGTAAAGTTTTTTCAACATGTTGCTTTTGTTGAATAAAATTATCATGTGAAAGATCTTGAACATGGATAATAATATCAGCTAGCATAGCATCCTCTAAAGTTGCCACAAAACATTCTATTAAACCTGTTGGAATATCTGACATAAAACCAACAGTATCAATGTAAATAACCTCTAATTTGCAAGGAAGAAATCCAGCATGAGCTGTAACATCAAGCGTTGCAAATAATTGATTTCGTGGCTGCATACTTTCTTCATTTGTTAATGATTTTATAAGTGAAGTTTTGCCAGCATTTGTATACCCAACTACGGCAATAATCGGAAATTCCTTTTGCTGTCGTTTATTACGTAGTAATTTTCTGTAATATGCAAATATTACTTATTGTATTTACGAATTTTTGGCCGATAATGAAAAATGTTTATACCTATGAGATCTTATTTTTTCGAGTTCGAGCTTCAACTTTTGCTGCCTCTTTCTTAAAATTTCTTTTTGAAAGTCATTCAAATAAAAACCTTGTTTTCTTGAGGTTGATGGATTTGTTTCTTTATATTTACTCCAAATGTAAGGAATTTCTGCCATAGCAACTTGAAGTTTTGCATCTCTACTTTTTGCATGTAATCTTAAGATTTGAATTACAACTGAATAACGATCCATAACTGACGTTTGAAATTCATTTTCTAAAAACTTCTTTTGTGCAAATGTTAAAGTTCCTTTGCTAATGAATACACGGGTTACCTGAAAAAATTGAGACTAGACTTAGACAATAATAAACCAGCGCACAGCTTACCCTTTTTAATGAATTGAGCTGTTTCAATAAGATTTTTAACTCTTCCAATTTTCCTTTACCGAATAATTGCTTTTTTTCTAGTGTTTCTAAAGGTACAATTAAACTATGGCTAACACTCCAGTGTGGCAGAGATTTTATTAGAGATTCAGCTTCTAATAATTGTAAATTAGGTTTAGATTCCATTTTATTTCTTTTTTCATAAGGTTGGATAACTAAAACATTTTCAAAGTCTGTGTTTCGTAGAACATTCATAGATAAATTAGCTAAAACATCATATTCACTGAAATGATAGAATTAGTAGAGCAACCAAATTTTTTGAACATAAAATTTAATACCTATCTTCAATGCTCAAATCATCATCCTCAACTTCTTCACATTTAGATGAAAACTTTTCATTTTCCTGTTTTCGACGTTTTATTCCTTTTATTCCTAAGTTACGAGAATTTTTCGAGCAATAGTTTCTAAGATTTTTTGAAAAATATAACCAATTATTTTGCTTTAAGTAACAAGGGCGTAGTACTTCTTGTTTTATGCCAGAAATGAAGAAATTCAAAAACCTTACGGCATACATATTTTTAATAATTGTTTTCTTGAAGTATAGTGTGTTTATTTTCAGCTGCCATCCAAGCCGCTTGACAAGATTTGGTTCTTTCACTTGTTATCTTGTATGCCAATACCGTTGCAATTCCTGATGAAAATAGTATATTGAACCTTAATGGATATTTCAATTTAGCAAAAATTATTTTTTGCGCAAAATAGCTTCCTGAAAAACCTGGAATAAGAATTTATGATGAAATATTTTTGATACAAAACTTATGTGCTACCTAGGCAAAATGATGCAAGACCCGTAAATAAAGATCTCGTCATGCAATCTAAATACGAATCAAACCCTGGATGTTTTTCTCTTTGTTGATTTTTTAATTGTTTTATGTCATTCATATCAAATAAAATATACACATAAAAAGTGAATACAAATTGGTGTAAAAATTTTGTGAAGTAAAGTAATCACTAATTTAAATACATAGATGTGCAATATGTAATATGGATATCTATGTACATTATTATTTTGACATAACAAAAGTTTAGACAGCGGCTGACAGAAATGCAGGTCTGACATAGAGTCTGCACCTTGACAAAAGAAATATAATATCAAGGCTTGAATGAATGTTTTTGTTAAAACTGCAAATGTATTTATAGTAAAACATTTCGGAATCATATTTTTTGTTTTTGAAAAAAAATGATTTTTGCCTATTTTCGTTTCGAGTTTTCTATGAAACAATTGACTAAACTGTAACCATTTTTATAATAAAATGAAATTTGAAGTTCAATTCAATTCAATTTTGATCAAATAAATTTTAAGAGTTTTTTCTGCATTTTTTTGAGCCCGCATGAAAGGCGCCCTTAGAAAATTGAGAGTAAAGAGTTATTACAATACAATAAATTAGTGTTATATATTTTCTTAATTTAGAATACACGACGTAAATTAAAATTAGTAAGAATTTTATTAGATTTTAAGTTAGAATTTAAACTTGAAATCATTAGATTTTTAGTTTTAAATATTATTTTTAATATCATTATTGTAATCATTAAAAAATCTGATGTGGTCAGCACATAACCGACCGCATTGTGCATTGTCTAGTTAAGTGAAAGTGTTACAGAATATTATAAAAATGCCTGTTAATTACCTCTTTCCAATTTTTAGGACATTAATAAGCTTATAGTTAACATACCTAGAAAAATGTAAATTTGGCTCTTAGTAGAGTTTCGCTTTGTGCTACCCGAATTCCCTGAAATGCTCGTCAGTTAGTTTCGGTAACAACCAGAACTCAAATATCAAATTTCAAGAAATTCTATCAATTAGTTATGTAGATATAGTGAAAAATGTAAAATCGGCCCGCAGATCAGTTTTCGAGCCCCGATCTTTCCAAAAAATTTATATGTTCATTGTTTTAATACGAAGAACCTAAATATTAAATTTCAATGAAATCGGTCGATTATTTCTCTTTATATACGCAAAAATGTATATTTGGCCCGTAGTAAACGTCCAGTTGCTGACACCTGATTTCTTCCAAAAGTTAGGAGGTTTTGCGGCCGGTCGAACGAAGCTTATATATGAAATTTCAAGCAAATCGGTTGAATAGTTTCTTTAAAATGATCAAAAATCTAAAACAGGCCCGCTAAAAAGTGCAGTTCCCGAGGCCTGATATATCCCAAAAGTTGATCGATCCGTGCCATGGTGGAAATAAACTTACATATAAAATTTCATAAAAATCGGTTCAGTAGAACTTGAGATACACGCGTGCACACACAGACCGACAGACCCAGACCGACAGACGGACAGACCGACAGGTTGCTAAAAATAGTTTATTTACACTTCCCTACTATGGAGAAGTGCATTCCCACCGAAAACTCGATATGCAAAATTTGTTGCCATCACATTATCTACCTATTGTATACACAATACGGTCGGTAAAAATGAGTCGTTTCAAGTGGTCCCCTATAAAAACAAAAATAAAAAATATAAAAAAACTTGTATTAGTTTTTAAAGTTCCTGTTGCGGAAGTTTAGATAAATCAGGTAATTAGGTAATTTAAAATTAGACTTACTAACAATATGAAAATATTTTCCAATATACATACATACATATTTACATAACTAAAATCGTATACTTACCTAAAAAGAATTACATACAAAAAGAATACACATAATATGCAATAATTTTTATGAAGCGTATTAATTAATTAATATAGTATGCAAATGAAAAATTTACAGATATATACATATGTAATTATATAAGAAGGATGCATTGTAGGAGACATGTCATACATAATTAGCAAACATAATTTTTAATATCAATTGTATGTACATTTTCTCAAATTTGAAAATATACACAAAATCCAACTTAATACTTTGAAAAAAAAATTTTGCATTTTTTTTTCTTGTAGTATAGCATTATATTGTAAACCAGTGCCGGGTTCACTAAAATTTAGAAAGTGTTTTTTTGACTAAAATTTAGTCAAAAAAGGGCCAAAAAGATAGCTTTGGATGTATTTTCAACTACATACACAATTTTTAAAATACCTAAAAATTATTTTACACAATTAGCACAGCTGAGAATAGCAAACAATTTCTTCTTGATTTTTATAACATTATTATGCCGTATTTGTTTCATTTATTTATTTGATCTCTACTATGTGTGATTTGTAAAAAAGATAAATTAAAATATTTTTTCGAAAATCAAACGAAACTCTTTACACAATATTAAAGGAAGCATCTTGAAAAAACAATGAAGTCATATTTTTTGCAGTTGTCTCTTTTTTTGTTCCAAGAATTGTCAAAGTCGTAGCAGGGCCGTATTTGTTTCATTTACTTATTTGATCTCTACTCTAATGTGTGATTTGTAAAAAAGATAAGTTAAATTTTTTTTTTCGAAAATCAAATTTAAACAAAACTTTAATTTGTTTCTCTTTGAATAAATTTATTTTATAAACGGAAATTATATATACGTTATATTAAATTAAAATATCTCATTGTCCCAAAACTGAACAATTTTTTTTTTAGTATAAAATACTAAAATAAATAAAAGTATAAAATACTGCCGTGTTACTTATTATATCAATTTTGATTATTTGAGTTTATTTTGTTATACATTGGAGTCATTGTAATACTGCAAATTCAGATTTTGTTTACTTTATTTTTCAAATTAAAACAAATTTAAAATATATAAAAATTCATAATTGCTTTTTGAAGTAGTATTTATTCTAATAAAATTATTAAAAAACTGTTACCACTTTACTTTTAAAAAATTTGACAGAAAATCTCATAGGGATAGAGTAATTTCAATACAACGAATGAGAAATAACTAAAGGAAGGAGCATTTTTGTTTCTATCCAAATTCTTATTCTCATTTAAAAGAACGAATGGAAGTTTCCCATCATATGCATGTGAATATAATTTATATTAATTTTTTTTTTATTTTTTTTTATTTTAAGTGATATTGCAACTAAGAAAAGAATTCCTATCTAGCAAATTTTCTGGCTCAATATGGGGGTTATGGGTGTATCATCCACTGATGAGTTCCCTGTCTAGACGATGAGTTCAAGCGGTCTGAATCTTTTTAGTCGTCTATGTACTTGATCAACATCCAAAAGTTGCAGCATCTCGGGGTTATCATGCTGGAGTAATCTTGATTGATGATTGATTGCATACTTCTTTATTTCATCTTTGACTGTCGGCACGTTTAGGTCTCGATGTAAAGTATCATTACTTACGTATCATGGTGCATTTACAATGATTCGGACAAAGAACCTGATTGTAGAGCAGTAGTTTGTTCTGTGTATTAAGCTCAGAATGTCTTCTTGGAACCAATATATGTTTCTCAATTTAATAATTTAAAGAAATATTTATTTAGTGGTGTTAAATTTAATTCATAATTTTAATTATTATTCGTAAATTTTAATTATAATTCGTAAATTTCTCAAGTTTTTAATGTTGGAAAGAGAACATTTGTTTTTGTTATACTAAAATTTATATAATTTTTTCATACTTCGAATGACAAAATTATAGCAGACCGGATTTTTTTTCTAAGCAAAATTAGTTTGAGTTTGATAAAATGTAGCATATGTACATACAATATTTTAAATTTGTCTTTTTTTTTTATATAATTACAGTTTCCCAAGAAGTAAGGAAATGAAAAGAAAGTGGATTAAAACTATTAAAAAAGAAGTTTGCATTTCATATATTTTGCCAAAATTATAATAAATTTATCAAATAAATTTATTCAAAGAGTAAAAAAAAATAGGCTTTGTTTAAATTTGATTTTTATTTAAACAAAAAATTTGTTTGAAAATTGATACACAAATATTGTTGAAAAATTTGATACAGATATTTAAAATGAAAAAATAATTTAAAATATTTTGAAAAAGTTTAACTTATCTTTCTTACAAATTACACATATTTTACACTAAAGGCCAAATAAGAAAAAGAAAACGCTTCTGTTACGACTTTGACAATGTTTTTCAAGATACTTCTGCCTTTAGTGTTTCCAATTCGTTGTTTCAGTATATTATATCCGTTAGGCAAAGTCTGATGTTAAACAGGATTTACATATGCAAACGACCTTCATCAGACTTAGATTAATTGTAAAATTAGAACTAAAGCGGTGAACTGCAACGGTGAACGGTCCCAGAACAATAGCGGAACGGCAAAATCAACTGTTTAGTATTCTGCATTTAACGCCACACACATATGGGTAGTTTATGTTAAAAAATAGGATTAATCCTGTTTCAGAGTCGTTGATTAAGTTCGCATCAGTAATTTTGCTTTATTCTGAGCAGTACAATTTGTATGCATTATGTGTATTCTATATGAATTTTGACATTTCACTGCGGAAAATCGCTCTGTTCTGTTTTCAACTTAAGTCGTAAACTTTGTCGTATATCTATCTAAACAGTAATAAAAGTTTCTGACAGTTTTTGTTTTAGCTTGAACTGGTGTTAATTTTAAAATACAATGCAATTGAATTGTTCGATAATTTTTAGTTGTAGTTCCCGCTTCTATTACAGAACGACATATTCAAAATAAAACTGAAATTTTAATTACAAAGTTATTCAAATAAAATTCCGAAAGCTAATATAAATTATGTCAAGTAAATTTCTTAGTGTTATTGGTTTAAAAGAATGCATTGGTCGGGGGAATCCTTTAGAAGCCAAGGAGATATTGGAAAATATTTCAAAATTTTTCGATGATCGATTGTCAAAAGCTGAATTAGGTATGGTTATTATTCCATATCTCGAGTATATGTACAATAGTATATGTACAATAGTTAAAATTTAAAGTTTTTGTTTACATCTGTCTTTTCTAAAATAATAATTTAAAGTTTCATAAAAACAAAAATCTAAAACTAAAAGTACATTGGGATAGTAATTTATTAAATTGGAACAAGTAGTTTAAATGTTATTAGTATTTATTTTTAATGTGAAGTGGCTTATGTTTAATTGTGAATACATATTCGGAAAAGATTTGAGGGATGTGGTTAATTCAAGCAATTATTGTTCATGTGATTTTTCTTGGATCCATCTTTGTAATATATTTCCGATCACCAATATTAACAACATTAACACCTCAAAATGATTTAGAAAATCCACCGGCACGCCGATTAGTACTTATCGTAACGGATGGACTTCGCGCTTCTTCGTTTTATAAAGATAAAAGTAAGCTAGTTCCCAATATTAAGAGTATATTTTTAGAGCAAGGGTGCATAGGTATTTCCCATACAAGAGTACCTACGGAATCGCGTCCTGGTCACATTGCTTTGATAGCTGGTTTATATGAAGATCCTTCTGCCGTAACGAAAGGTTGGAAAGAGAATCCAATTGATTTTGATTCAGTTTTCAACAGGAGTTATATAACAAGGGCGTGGGGAGCGAGCGATATTTTATCTATTTTTGCAAAATGTACCGACAAGGAGAAAATTGAAATATTTATGTATGATCACGATTTGGATTTTTCGGGAAAAGATAAAACGTATAAACTTGATGAGTGGGTCTTCGATAGATTTGAAAAATTTCTTGAAAGTTCTGATAAAATTAAACTAAAATCTGAGAGGAAGGTTATATATTTTTTGCATTTATTGGGACTAGACTCTTCTGGACATATTCATCTGCCGAATACCAAATTATTTAATGAAAATTTAAATTATACTGAAGGAAGAATTTACGATCTATACCAAAAGTTTGAAGAAATTTTTGATGATAAATTGACTGCCTATATCTTGACATCAGATCACGGCATGTCTGATACCGGAGCACATGGAGCAGGCTCTCAAGCAGAAACTGATACACCATTGTTTGTTTGGGGGGCTGGCGTTAAAACTTGTACAAAAGATAATTTAATAGTAAATATTTTGAAAGTTTTAAAAATATGCATATTTATTTTTAATAATTTTTTTAGTCAAAAAATTATATAAAATTTGGGCGGTATGAAATTCCATTGTTAGAAGTTGAGCAAGCAGCTGTAGCTCCTTTGATGAGTTCTCTCATTGGTGTTGCAGCGCCAATGAATAATTATGGCAAATTACCAGTTGAAATCTTAAACGTTTCGGATGAATACGCAGCAGAAGCCGTTTTCAATAATGCAAAGCAAATTCTACTTCAGTATGAAACATTGCACTCTGAATTTGATACTGGTCTACTTTCAAATTACTTACCCCGTTTTAATAAGCTTGAAATTGCCACCATCAACATTTTCACTGAAATTAATTTACATAAAATTCGAATTAAAGATTTTAATTACGTAATTTCAAATTCAAAAACTATGATCTCAACAGCTTTGGAAGGAATTGAGTTTTATCAAAAATATTATCAAAATTTGTTATTGTTTTGCGTTACGATTGCAATTTTAGGTTGGATAGTTTATTTATTTTTAAACATTTGCAACATTCTTTCTAGAAGGACTTCTAATTTAGTTTTAATTGTTGGATTTTTGATTTTAAAGATTCCTCTACTGTTAATACATTTACAAGGTATTCCTAGTTCAATTGGGTTATACATTTTATTACCGGTAATAATTTGGACAGTCACCTTAAGTAAGTTTCCTTTTGGTGGAAAAAAATTAAATGTCACATGTCGGGATTTATGGGAATTGTTCAAAATATTAGTCGGTTCTCAAGTTTTAGTTTACTCCTTTGTTCGAAAAGAAATCGTTTCAATTGTTTTTTTCATATTTTCTATGAACAAGTTACATGTAATTTATAATGATAAGGATAAAGGTCCGTCTCAAATTTTAAAATTCATAATTCTCACGTCAGTTATAGCAAGTTTTCCATTTTTGAAAAGTGTTCATGGTAATCGAAATGATTATTTTATGCTATTAAGTGTGGTTTTATGGGTGTATAAAATTTTGACTGTAAACTTTTTAAAACTCTCCAAAACATCAAAAATGTATTTTATACTTGAATTATTAAATGTTTATATTTGTATTTACAAGCATAATCATTTGATTGGTATACCAATGGTTATATTGGTATTTTCGTGGGTGTTTCTTATAGGAAATTTCACATTTCCTTTACTTCAAAGCCAAGATTCGAAAATTCGTTTAGAAAGCATTTTAATAAGTCTTTTCAATTCCTATTTTATGCTATCAATTAGCTATGAACCAATTTTTTTAATATTATTGATTACACATTTGAAATTTTTAATGGAGGCCAATATAATAGCCAACTTGAATTCAAAGCACAGCGCACAAAATATTGTAAATGAGAATATTCATACTCAAATAGCAAGTTTACAGATTGCCTTTGTATTATTAATGTATACCATTATTTCATTTTTTGGAACAGGAAATATCGCTTCGGTTAGTTCTTTTGACATAAATATTGTCAGATGTTTTATTACAACTTTTTCACCATTCATTATAATGTTTTTAGTCATATTAAAATTGGCGATTCCAATTATATTAATTTTGGCTGTTATTACAGCATTGACCAGCGCTCATCAACAACAAAAGAAAATATTTATGAGTGTACTTATTATATGTAATTTCATGGGCATAACTACTTTGTATTTAGTGACAAATAAGGGATCTTGGTTAGAAATCGGAGAATCTATATCTAGATTTGTTATTATGCAAGTTACTACATTAGTTCTTTTTCTAATAAGTGGAGTAGTTTTACTACTATTTCAATTTACTTTATTTGATGCAGAAATAATAAAATTTCATTTACCAACTGAAGCTAGAAAAATTGTATAAGCTTGTGGACGCAAATTTTATATCTATTCTTTATTTATGAATGCTTGTGAATGTTCAATTAATATTTAAGAAAAATTCATTTTGTTCAAATTAATGCATTAAACACATTTAAATAAATTAGCTTGAAATATTAATTAAAAATGTTTGATTTGTACATATACTGGAACAATTGTTTTTTTTTAATAATACCTCTATTTAAAAATAAAAGTCATAGTAATTATGAATCTTTAAAAATGTAAGTATTCCTTGTTATAAGAAATGAGATGTAAGTCAAGAAATAAAAAGCTAATTGTTTTCTTACTAAGAAATTAATATGAAAAAAATTCAAAAAATAAAACTGAATTCAAATTACCAATATGTGCACTTGCATATATGCATACCTATATGCACACTTGCATTTATATAAATTTTGTAATTCTCCGATTATGCTATTACATCTTACAAAATTTTGAAAGTATCAGAAATATTACATTAAAGGAGAATGATATAAGTAATGAACACACAATCAGTTAAGTGGTGAACCCACGTGAATGAGTTAATAAAGAGCCAAATATAATGTTTTTCAAACTTTTAGATTTTTGGAGTTTAAAATATTAAAAATATTTCTTTTTTTAAATAAAAAGTTAATTTTTACCATCAAGTATTCATTTAATTGTTAATTGAACAACTAAATCATTAAAATTTAATTACAGATTGATTTCATTATTCAAAGTTGTTTCATAAATGTTTTTTTGAACTTTATTAGAGCTTGCACTTGAAACCATTTTCGATACTGACTGTGGGACTATTGCGTTCTTAAATCGAAGTATAAAAGAAAAAAAGAAATTCGCAGAATGTAATGCAAATATTTTTTGTATTTGGATAAAAATTTTGCAAAATCATGGATTTTCAATTTCTTTTGAAAACTATGTTGCGGATATAATTCAGGTAAATTATTTTATTTTAATATATATACATGCACATATACTATTTTAAATTATATGCTTATTATAGTGTTCAACTCGTTTCATTGTATCTATGCAAGTTTCAGCTAAAGAAAAAGAAAAAGCTACTGTTGTTTTACAGGAAATTTTTCAAAATAGATTAGCTGACGACCTCAACGCATCTGAACTTATTTCTAAGTTAATTGATGTGCTCAACTTAAAAAACCGACCAGGAAATTTCTCTCAACAAATTTTTATCCTCTTGGGAATAATATCGCGAGACACTCCAGAAAATATTTCTGAAAGACAAGCCTATATGATACAAAATAATATGCTTAAGACATTAGAAGATACCCTTTTAAATGAAGAGACAGTAAGATAAAACTATTTATTCTTCAAATGCTCAAATTTGAAATATATCTTTCAACAACAGGTTCAATATAATGTTCTCGCTGGCGCTATGGAAGGGTTGAATCTATTTCTTATTAACTTTGCACCATCTCCTACAGAAAGCTATAATATATGCGATTCTATATATGTTTGTGTAAAAAAATTGTCTAATCCTCCATTGTATGTTAAAGCTAAGGCACCATTTCGTCATGCGTTAGATTTGTTTACAAGACATTACCATTTATTTAGTAAACAAATATATAGAGATTTCAAGTACTGGCATGAATGTTTAACGAACACTTCCTGGCTTTTGTCCACAATATATGATGATAGAAGAAAAGCTATTTTTGCCATTCAATCATTTCACAAAGCTGTAGAATATAATTTAAATAAAAAAGAGTTAAATGAAAATGACCAAAAAATTTTATTGTTTTTAATGACGAGTTTCCGTTCTACGTTAGAATCAAATGAATCAAAATCTTATGAAAATCGTATTGCTATTCGGGGTTTTGGTGTGATGGCTAAGTTATGTACACATTTTTTACCAGAAATGGTGTACACTATATTAGCTCTGGTAATACAAAAAACCGAATTGATTTCATTGGCTGAAGATAACGAATTACGAGACAGTTTAGAACATTTTCCAGACTATGTGGAGGCGCTGTCTCAAATTATTAAAGAAGTTGGATCAAAAGATAAAAACATAACCCCCATTTTAGCGCATACAGTTCAAACTATATTGGTTCGATTAATAAAAGATTTTCATTATTTGTCGAAAGCACATACCTCTTTAGCAACAAGTGCAATATGTAAGACTTTGTTTAACTTGTCTGAATTGGATGGTTCTTTGTTTAATGATGTTTTAGAAAAGGTAAACTATTTTAAAATAATTAAAGCTGGTTTTGTTTTATTAAAAAAGTTTTTAATTTTCAATTCAGATTATTTTGCAAGGAATCATTTGGACGTGTTCACATAAATTAGTGCATGACGCAAATTTGGATTGGGATAATGGTGTTGATTGGAAAGACAATATAACATACAAAAGTTACCTAGAGCTTTGGCGCAACTTGTTAGATGAAACTTCCTGTTCTAACTACGACAAATTGTTTATATCAAATCAAATTTTTAATACTTTAATAAGCAATTTGCTTGTTATCTTAGAAAAGTTAAATCTAAAGACAAAAAAGCGAATGTTTATTGGAGAAAATGGTGAAGATCAGGAATTTTTTTTTTGTGATCCCAATATAGATTTATGCCCTGAAAATTCCGAAGATTTTCGTATATTTTTCAATTTAGTCGATTTTTATCGTGATATATTTTTCACAAAGTATAACAAAGAATATTTTTATAAGTGGATTAATGAATATTGTACAAAAATGGTTGGTTATATTATAGAAAATCCCTTAATTAGTGGATTTCTGAAATTTCTTCAATTTGGATTGACGATAGCAGATGATTTAAATTACTTTTGTCTTACTAAAGAAAGCGAGAACGAGAGTTTAAAAAATTCTTTGCTGTTTTTGCTGAAAAGTATTATATTTAGATGTCAAAAGGTTTCGGGTGAATTACAATTTTCTTGCTTGGAGTTGATACTGAAATTTCCTCATGAATTCTACAGGGATAATATAAAAGACTTAATAGTGGTATTTAAAATATCTTTTGAATTGGGAAAGACCACGATATGGTTAGCGAAATTAGGTATAACAGCATTAGAAAAGATATCGGAGAAATTCGGGGAAGAGTCCTATTTGTTGGATGACTTGAACAAGTTTTATGAAGAGGTTTTACCACAATTAGATAGTTATTTACAAGGAAAAGGATTTGAGGAAAGGCATATTTCAGCTGAAAGTTATGCTTACAAAAATAAAAAAAAAATTAAAAAAAGTACGTATTTTCAGAGAATTGAAAGTACAGAGCTTTTTGAAGTTCAAAAACGGATATATGGTTTCTTAGGTAAACTACAACCTCATCAAGCACTCGCAATTCTAGATAAGAACGTTATTAATGAAGATCTTGTTAAATGGGAAATAGAACAAAATATCAAATTAAATCTTTATTATCAGAATATTCGATTAGAAATTTATTTGGATACAATTATTCCAAGAATATGCCATTTAGCATGCACTTCTATTGATCGTAAAACGAAAATTGCCGCTTGCGAGTTAGTTCATGCAATAACTTTGTATTTACTTGGAGCTAAAATACATAAAGGGATGTTATGGCAAGAATTATGTTCAAAGATTTTATTACTTGGAGCTGATAACGATGTCACCATACAACAAATATTTGAACCGCTCCTGCGTCAACTAATGCATTTCCTCTCAAAATATGAGAACCTTAATAAAGGAGTTGATGTGATGATGAAAATATTGATGGATGGAATTTCCAACGAAAATAATTGTGCGGTTCGAGATTTAAGTGCTGTGTGTATTAGAGAATTTGTTGAATGGAGTATTAAACAGACGACTCCACAACAATTAGCAGCATCTCCTGTTAGTGTTGAAATTATACTAAACGAACTAAAAATGTATAGTTTTGATTCAAATTCTTCTCGTCGAATAGGATCTGCTTTGGCTTTTAATAATTTATATCGAACATTGAGAGAAGAAGAATCGATATGTGACATCTATTTTATTGATTTGTTACATACGTTTTGTGTAAATTTTAAGCTAAGTGAAGAGTTGAGCTCAATTCCACTTGGGAGTATTAATTGGGAATTGGAGCAAGTTTCTTTAAGTTTGGATCATGTGGTAAGAGTGCTAAAAGAAAGAAGTTATCTCTACACAAAGCCGAATCGAGCAAGGAAAATTCCTTCTGCTATAGCAAAAAGCGGGGAAATAACTTTAAAAGATGTCGTCATATATTTATTGGCGGAAAGTGAAAATAAATTAATGAGGTATAGAAGAAAATGTCTAGAAATGGTACTTAGCCTGTTTACATCAGTTGAGAATGCTTCATCCCTCTCAAATTTTTTTTCAAACTATATCAGCCTCGATATTATATTCAGTATTTGTGAAGGATCTCTAAATGGTAAACAAGTCATTAAAGTGTATAAATTTCTTTTTTGATAAAGAATTTAATTTTTGAATTTTGTTACAGCTAAATTAACTTTGCGTTCATTGAAGAAAACAGAGACAGAGCGTCCTTATTTTGCAATATACAATTGGATGCAACGTTTTCTAGGCTCTTTGGATTGTTACATTTGGTTACTAAGCAATAATGCTTTTAAGAATCCGAAAGAAATATTTGTGAATGCCAAAATTTTTGAAGCGATTTTTTACTATTTCGAAAAGGTATGTTGGTCGACAGTGTTTGACCTAATTGAATGTTTAAATTCTGAGAGTATTGAATCTAGTAGTAATTTAAGAAGCGTAGAACTGGAAGAAATAAACCAAATTAATGTTATTAAATGTATTATTGAAGGTCAAATAATGGCTTTTATTATAGCAATTTTGAATTGTGGTTGCCATGATCAAATTCCTAAAACATTTTGGGAGCTAGAAAAAGGAAAGCTTGTTAAAAAATTTATCTGTGATATTTTGTATGAACCTAGCATTTTAGGGTTCGAAATAAAATATCGCGAGATTACAAAAGGTTATCAGGACAAAGTTTCCCGAATGGTTAAAAACATTCAAACACATGGTATGAATAAAGAATTCTATGCTAGTGCAATTCAACAAATTGCGTTAAATTTAATAGATAATATTAAAGTATTAACAGAAAAAACCAAAGAACTGTTATATTCAAATCAAATAAGTGATTATAAATGGAATGTTTCAAAGGGTGTTGTATTTGTTCTTAAAAATATAGCAGTAAATGAAGTTTTGGATCTGACCAAACTAAAGGATTATGGAGAAAAACTATTACTACATTTGTTCGATGGAATTTCTGAAAATATTTTTAATAAAGGAACTACTATAAATTTAACACCTAACGTTAAAAAATTTGCAAATCAATTGCTAAAAGTTTTTTTTGCAATTGGGGAAATTTTAAATTTGCAAAATACTGAAAACCTTTTAAAGATGTTTGTTCGGCATTTGCTGAATGATAAATTTTTAATCATGCGAGGAACTTTGAAAAGAATTAAGCATGGAGAATATTTTTTTTCAATATATAAACGTGCTATTCTGGAGAATTGTAAAGCTAAGTATGTAATTTAAGTTTGATGAGTGTAATGTTTTTTTTATTATTTATTTTATTTTTTTATTTTCAGTTTTATAAAGATTCTCATACCGTTACTATTTTCATGTTCAGAAAATTCTGATTCTCATTTTGTTATTAAAATTTTAATTGAAATAATAGATTTTTGCTTCAAACACAGGCAACATGACCAAAATACATTGCAAGCCTTAGTAGAAATAAATTTAAAATATTTTATAAAAGTTCAACAAATTTTACCTACTTGTGAGGAACAATCTTTGGTTGTGGATTATTTATATAATTTGGGATTAGCATGTCCTATTACATGGAAACTAAATTCCTTTAAATCTAAACAGATTGAAATTGAAAATTATGTCATAGAGAGACTGAAGGATAAAAAAAATTCCTTGGCACAAAAAACACGAGTTTTTAGGCTCATACCGTTACTTATTGGCACAGAAGATTTTGAACATTTAAAGTTAACGGAGGCATTACAAGATTTACAGAGTTGCCACTTTCCTTTGAGATCGTCGGAATTCAGAAAAAACAGTGTCGAAGAAACCGATCTTAAAGTGGCATTTAAATCATTACTTGATGCATTAATAGTGTCTAAATCTTTCGTTATTTTGGATTTTATTCTTCAAGCAACTGCAGTTGACAAGAAGCACGTAGCGGAGTACATGATTAGACAAGATTTAGTTGTATACAACAATAATCTTAATAGGTTTTACAATAGAAAAAAGTTTTTTCTATATGCTAATTATTAATTTTAATTTCAGTTCACAACAAGTCTTGGTACTGGAGCGTCTCTTTGCAAAATGTTATAATGAACAACTTGAGCCCCAAATCCGTGTTACAATTTTGGAACGTTTTCTTGTTCCTATACTTCAAAATAGCCGTGAAGAAATTGTGATAGCATTTTACATAAAATCATTTTCAAAAATTTCGCAATTAATAGATGCCAAATTTGGTTTTGCTAAACAAGGTTGGGCTGTAGAACAAGCTCTGGTAAATCGAATTATTGGATTTTCTTTATTAGAAATCTTTTTCGGCAAATTATCTAAAGAAAAATATTATTATCCTGACTGCCCACTTATAAGTGCTTTTTTACCAAATGAAAAGTTACCGAACATATTTATTGGAACAATATCAAAGAAATCATTTTATGCCAGGACAGAAGTTTTTGTAACTGATGATAAGTCGACTAAAGAATTTTTCCGACAATATCAATGTGCTGCTTATAAAGCATTATGCTCTATTATCTGTAATACACAAACTGATATGAGATTTTATTTAAAATTTTTATTTGAGGAAATTCCTCAAAAAAATGAATTTATCTGGGTTAAATTAATCGACTGCTCTGATGATAAAATTTATATTCACGATAGCCAAGAAATGGAATCCTACGCAAAAACTAAAGAACGTTTTGTTTCTATAAGACGCTTGAACGCACTAAATTTAAATATTAATTCTAGTACAAATCAAGCCACATTTGCCAGATATTTACAAAGCCAAAACGTGTTTTCATCAAGTCTAAGTCAAGAAATTAGTAAAATTGATTTAAATTATTCCATGGTTAGAGGAGATGCGGAAGCTTTTAAACGTAAAGAAAGCATGATGAATGAAGTATTTTCTGGTAAAAAAAAAACTTATATTGGTGTTTATATATATATTCATTTTCTGACTTAATTTTTCAGTTAAACTAGAAGGAACAGAGATAAATAAGCATGAAATAATGCCAACATTATGTGGAGTAATACAACATATGCAGGAAAGTGGAGTAACGCCGTTTATTAGTGATCCTTCAAAGATAAAACGATCATATCCATGGGTAGTTTCTATAGCTAACGGAATTGATGCATTTTCAAACCATAAAAATATAAGAATATTTTTGGCTCAGGTAGTGGATAATTGTCGCAATGTTTTTGAGCCGTATGCACATATTTTATTTAAACCAATTTTACAATTGATATTTGATGAATGTGCTGGGACACAATTGAATTTTTTTATAACCGACATGATAGCTTTACTATTATGCTGGACCAAAAAAGAATTGTATAAACCCACGACAATCGAAGAAATTCGTCTAAGTTCCTCTTTATTGCAGTTTCTTATGAAAAACACGTGGAATGAGAGTAAACATATTTTTAAATATAATTTAGAGTTAGTACAAACTATGATTAGTTTGTGGAAAAACGATCTTGAGATTCCGCACCGATTTTTATTGGATATGATTCAGGTGTCAGAAAGACGGGATTCTAAAGAAAACGAATTGGGGTTAGTACTGTCTGGAGTAATCCTTGCAAATAATCTTGTCCCTTGGATTGAAAGAACTAAGAAAATATTTATCCAAAAGGTTTTTTCAAATTTGGACAATGATTATTCTGCGATATATCAAGCAGCAGCTCACGTGTATGGTATGATTTTAAAAGTTTTGAATAGTAATCAAAATTTGGAAATTCTTGAAACTGTAACGAAGGAACTAGTTGGTAAATTAAAAGGAATTGCTAATAAACGCGAAAGTAAAACGGAAAAATACTTTAAAGATATTTTATATGGAGTGCATAAAAGTTATCCAGAAATATTAGACTATTTTAAAGAGACAATATCATATAAAATTCCTTCGGCTATTGGTAATATTAAAAAACTTTATTTAGAAATGCTTTTGGCTAGACTTGAGGCATATAATTCCGATGAAATTTATAACATTATTATTTCAATTGGTATAAAAGATTTATTGAAAATTGATGAATATCAACTTCTTGCCTTGCACATCATCAACAAGTCACTACCAAACCTGCAAGGAAGTGAAATTCACAATTTATTTTCGGCAATAGAAATTTGTATTGAATCTTCAAAAGCAGAAAGCCGTGATGTGGCTTACGAAATTTTAATATATATTTCTCAAAATATGACTAATATTTCAGGTTTGGAAACTGGAACTTCCAAAAATGCTTTGGAAAAAAAAATTAGCGCTTTGCTTCTTAAAGGTTTATTAGATACAGATTTAGAAATCCAGAAAAGGATATTCCATTTTTGGTCTCAGGAAACAAATTTATCGCAAAACATGTCAGATAGACTTTTGTTTTTAATATCAAACTACAGCGCAGACAGCGAGAAACAATTTTTAAGTTTTTGTACGCAATTGATTCTTGAACCTGCTATTCAAAATTTTGAATCAAAACAACAAATTTTCCAATTTGAGACTGATCGGGATAGCAAATTAGAAGAATATCAAATTAATACAAACTTTCGGTTTAAAAACACGTTTTCTGTGCCACCACTTTTTGCAGATAGTCAAAGCAGACTATTTTCGCAAAGAAATTACAATTTTGTTAGGGATATACCAAATGAATATTTCTTTGAGCCAACTAAAAGCCCGCTAGAATTATCCCAGATACGAACTCAATTTTCTCTTCCAAGTCAAACTTCATTGCCATTTATTGTCCAACCTTATGTTCTTGATCGTAGATCACAAAGAATTTCAGTATTGGAGAACGAAAATCAGCTCCGATCAGCTGAAACATACGATAATTTTTTAAGGAAAAGATTTTTAAAAGACAGAAATAAAGAAAAAACAGAAATTACTTTAAAAATCATCGATAAAAAAACAAAAAAACAACATATAAGTAGTGCAGATAAAGTAACTTTGTATAGACGTTACAGAATTGGAAACTATCCAGATTTATTAATAAATACTTTAGCTTTTTTGTTACCACTTCAAGGAATAGTCAAATGGGATAGATGTATTGCCCGTCAAATATTTGTTTCAATTTTCACATCTTTAGTAAAAGTTTTAGGGCCTGAGTGTAATCAGTTCGTAACATCTGTTGGTTATAAGATCCAAAATATTTTGAATGGATCAAGAAATTGTGATCCGGTAGTGTTTTCCACATTTTTAGAAATGGCTCTTTTGAAGGCTGAGGAATTTAATTTCAAACCTGAAACGGTTTCAACTATAGCAAAAGCATGCAATATGCAAACTATTGGTGCTATTTATCTTGAAAATAGAATTAATATTGATTTCGAAGAAAGTGAAAGCGGTCCATCAACAAAATCTGGTTCAATTATTACCAATTGTGAAAGACATTGGCTGGAGTTGTCGGAAATTTATAACTCTTTGGCCGAATATGATATTGTAACTGCAATTTTTACTCATAAAGTAGACGCAGATCCTCGTTTAGGTGAAGCGATAGAATTAAAAACAGCAGGTCGTTATAAAGAAGCGCAGGAACTGCTTTTAAAAATAATAGAACGCAGGCAATTAGTTGAACAAAATTTTTCTTACAATAGCTTTTATGAATGTTTTGAAGAATTGGGAGATTGGTCGATGTTATCTAAAGCTATTCAGCAACAACTTGATGATTTTGACGAACTTTGGACTGATGACTTCAATACTAATTATTATTTACCAAAATTAATTAAAGCGGAGCTTCAGCTTATATTAAAGTCAGAATCACATAGTACTGAATTTTTGGAAATATTACAAAATTGGATGAAATCTGATGAAGTCAAAGCCAATCATATTAAACAAGTATTTTGCGAAGAATTAATGATGCTTCAAATTGCTAATGCTAATTATAGGCAGGCAAGAGTGCATTGTGAAGATTATTTGAAAAAGTTTTTGCTACATTGGGGTGTCATGAGCTCACATTATGACAAATTGAGGCACGAAAATATTTTAAATAGTCAGAAGGTTGCAGAAATTGATTACTACGCTTCGCTTTTGTTAGAACAGTTTGACGAAAAAGTTATTGATTTACTAAAAAATAAGTGGGATGGTTGTAAGATAGATAAATCCGATTCCTTAAGATACTGGAACTGTGTGTTAGGATATCGCGCTTATGTAGCTGATTTGTTTATTGTGAACTTGGAAAATTTAAGCAGTGAAAGTAATCTTGCAGATGGATTACAAAGAAGTATCAATAAATTGGTCTTTCAACTGTTCGACGCCGCTATTTATCAGAAAAATTATGGGATTGTAAACGAGATAATAAAAGGTTTAAAAAATAAGAAGCAAAAATATATATTCCTAGAATGCGAGATATCTGAACTGAAAGCCAAACTACTACAAACAGAAAACGCCAGGTAATTTCTTTAAAGAAAATTTGATTGCGTGTTGATAGTTATGAATATTTTTAAATAATATGTTTATATATATTTCATATAGCTTATCAAATTCGATTGACATTTTGCATCAAGCTTGGGAACAAACACATGATATTTTAAAATCTGATAATATAAAAGAAAATGTTAAATTGAAAACACAAGCACTACAAGTAAAATCAGAAATATCTGAAGAATTTTTCAAAAAATTACCATTCGTGAAAAATTTAGATCACAAAGTTATGGAAAAAATTTTGCGTTATGTAACACATAGTATGCATGATGATGTTAAATATAAAATATTTGAAGAATCTTTGTGGTCTTTAAAATATTCCACTGAAATTGCTCAAAATCTTTATAATGAAGAATTCGATAAGCGTTCTTCTAATCAAAAGTTTTGTGCAGATGCATATTATCACTTAGCGGAATTTTGTTATCGATATTACCAAATATCTGAAGAGAAAATAGCTTTGGAATTGGAAAAAAATTTAATATCATCAATATTTGCCGCAATGTATTATAACTCCTACGATTCTCGACAGCTATTTCCTTTCTTATTGCAATTACCATCTTTAGAAAATGGACTCTTGGCCGATTTGTTTACTGAAAATTCTAATAAAGTTCCTGATTGGATGTTTTTAAATTGGATTCCACAAATTTTGAGTAGACTAAATTTCACAAATCCATCGTATATTGATTTAATAGTTTACAGAATTGCAAGAAGTTATCCCAATGCTTTGATATACCAGTTTTATACATGGGTTGATGAACAAAAATCATTAATAAAAGATTTTATTACGATTAGAAGTGAGCTTGCTGAAATCAGTTATTTATTGAAAAATCCACTTGTGGACTGCTTTATTCGGGCTATAAAAAGTGTCCGATATCCGCACCTCCAGCTAACTTTTTGGATCACAAAGTTGCTTGAAAAGTTGCCCCAAAATCAAGAAAGTTACTTAAACAACTTTACCGAATTGATGGCTGTGTTTAATTTAGATGACAGTTTTCATGGCAGTGTTCATCGAGAAATTATGCCTTATAAAAAGGAATTTGAAGATTTAAAATGCCGAAATATTCTTGAAGGTATGTAATAACGCTACTTGAAATTGTAGTAATAAATCATATAAATTTTTATTCGTAGATTCAACACAAATTTATAATGAAATGAATGCTTTGAAAGCAAAGATATTAAATTCAACTAAGCGAACTGACAAATACTTTCGTTTGGAACATTTTTGTCCATGGCTTTCAAGTTTTCAGTGGTGTGGTGAGGAAATATGTGTGGAATTGCCAGGACAATATGATGGAGAACAAAGACCTATTATAGAACAAAACGCTAAAATCGTGAAGTTTGGTGAAAGGGTAGAAGTATTTCAGTCAATGAGAAAGCCTGTTCGTCTCAATGTTTTTGGAACTGATGCGAAGACACACGATTTCTTGGTAAAATTTGGCGAAGATTTGCAACAAGATCATCGAATTCAGCAGACTTTAAATGTAATGTCAAATAAATTAAAGAATGATCTTCAGTGCCAAAATCACAATTTGTTTATAAGAACATATAAAGTTATTCCTTTGGAAAAAAGTGGTGGAATGATTAGTTTTATTTTCAACACAACTACAATTGACGATCTTATTTCTGAATGTTTAATGAGAAGAAATTCTTCTGGGAAGCAATTATTACATAAATCCATAAAAGATTTTGTTACATTTATAAAAGAGCCAACGAAAAGAAATCCACATACCAAAGATTTGGATGTATATGGTGCTGCTGTTACTACATATACCAGAGATCAGGTAGGGAATCCACCTTTACATTTATAAAAAAGTTATCTTAACTTTTAAAATTAGGATATTTTTTATGCTCATCAAAATTCACTTAAATTTTTTCGTTTGTGTTATAAAATTAGTGTGTTAGAAATCTTATTTTATTTTTTGGTAGATAATTTCAAATTTCCGAAAAGTACAGTACAATATCAGCATAGATGTGATAAAATATTCCCTTGTTGATATGGCAGTATCTCCAGAAAGTTTCTATATTCTACGCAATAATTTTGCTAAATCTTTAGCATCCATGAGTATTTCACATTGGATTTTAGGGGTTGGTGATCGCCATTTACAAAATATTTTGATTAGCACAAAAGATGGAACTTTAAGTGGTATTGATTTTGGCATAGTACTTGATGGTGGCATTCGAAATTTGGTAATACCCGAATTAATGCCTTTTCGTTTAACACCACAATTCATTAATGTCTTAAGTCCAATGGGTACTGAGGGATTACTATTCAAGTGTATGTCACATATATTACGAGTTTATCGAAGTTCAGCACAATCATTACTAGCTTGTGTTGATATTTTCGCTAGAAATCCAACACTAGATTGGATTGCTTTACAAAGTATAGTGAAACTGGATTGGAAACCATTAGATGGAATAAGAACATTGAGACGTAAACTTTTAGGTGATAATCCAATGCATATTTCTAGAGAAAATTTAGAAGATAGCGCAATCGCTAAGTAAGTTAAATATTTCATTTTAAAAGTTTAATTTAATTTCTTAAAATATATTAGATATCAGCCGGTGTACAAGGAGGGATACAAAAAACTTTTAGAAGGAAATTATCAATTTAATATTAGATCAAGATTACCTGAAAAAGATTTGACAGTTGAAGATCAAGTAAAATGTCTTATTGATATGGCTACTGATCCGGCAATTTTGGGATGTTCCTACGTTGGCTGGCATCCGTGGCTTTGAATAAATAAGAAACTAATTGTAATGAAAGAAATTGTAATGTTCATTACAATAAATTTTTACTTTTCTATATTTAAAAAAATCTGTTTCAAAAGCATTTATTAATATAGGTTTTTGGAAGATATTTATAATTAATTAGCTCCTTGTAAAAGCAGGTTGTATGGTAGCGAAAGTTAAATAACCTGTATGACCTGGCATCATCATGGGGGGTGTTGATGTCAAAATTTTTATACTCTCCTTATTGTGCTTTTCTTGTTTATCTTTCCAGTTACGTGTTTGCGTAACATCCGCTGTGGATTGCTGTGTGTTTACATCGTCATTCAATTTAATTTGGTCAGTAGCTTCTTTCTATTAAAATTTAAAGTTATATAATTTTAATAAAATTGAATTAAACAATATGAGAAAATTGGAAATCAAAAAAAAATATTACAGACTCTTTTTTGTGCTTTTATTTTATTGCTTAGAATATCTGCATTATTTATATAAAATTCTGTAAATCTTTAAAATTGAGCAATTATGCTTCTTTTCTAATGAATGCTAACTATAAACCATTTTTTTGTAATTGTACAAAGTATAATATAATATATACATATAACAAATGTGACCGAATAATGCCCTTAAAACTGTTAAAAATTATGATTTTATATATTTTTCTGAATTAACTAAATCAAAATTAATACTTTGTAGACATTTACATACATACATAGATAAAAAAGCTCATTTAATTAACAAATGTGGGGTTACGTAAGAGAGACAAAGTTTTTTAGGGTAGCGACTCTAGGTGGCGGCTGGTCAATTCATCCTAGAATGTAGCTAATATAACTAATGTGAAGAAAGGGAAAATAAAAATGGATTATGTCAAGAAGGACAAAAAAATTACGGAAAAGAGTTTCGGATGCCCAGGACCGGTACGTGGTGAGAGTGTGCGAATGGACTCCCACGGATCGTTAGAATGCTGCCGCCCTGTACTTATGTTGAAGTCACAGGCTATAGTGCTGGATAATACTACTGTGGACATAAACGACAAAACTCGTGAAATCAACTATAATCCCCTTCAGAGAAGCGAAAAGATTGTCAAATCACGCAACCAGATTATAGCAGAAAATGAGCTTCTGAGGAAAAAATTAATAGAAATTGAGTCAGTCACCCGTAAAATGCAGGATGAAATTAACATATTAAAGACAGAAAATATATCTTTAAGATCTCACCTGGATGAAAACAATAAAAATATAAATCATACAGGTGGTATTAATAGAACGGCTGTAACAAATAAATATGATTTAACTGATTTTGATAGCAGCGTGCTTACAGATTTCGAAACTGATTCGGGGAAAAATTACAATGAAAACCAAAAGGCAAGTTAAGAAAAAAAAAAACGAAACCTTCCCCTGAAATCGCTCCTGTTGAAAATAAATTAAAGTAACAACAGATAACCCTAATACTGCTAAAATTACTGCAGTAACCAGAGCCAGAACCAAATTATGCACAAGATATTAGTGTAAGAAAACTTCATCCAATAAATGTAGTTGATATAGATTGTTATAAAAAAATTCAAGTTCTGATTGGTGAAATTAGGAAAAGTTATGAAATTACTTCTTTGAATAATAACGTATGGGAACTCAATGCAGAACAGAACAGCGATGACTATCATATCATAGTTAAGAAATTAAATAGCGAAAAAATTGGATAGTTTACATATGGGAATAAGCAAGATAACCCAATTAAAGTAATGGTGAGAGGTCTACATTGGTCTTGTGAGAAAATGGATATCATAACTGTCATTAAAAATCAGGGACGCTGTAAATATACTTAAAACAGAAAGATCTATCGATGATAAGGTAGTTCATAACGAGTCAACAGGTAGTTCAAAAACGAAAGCTTCCGTTATTTATACTCACTTGTGATAAATGCGAAAACATATACAAAATTAGATTAGAGGTATCCTAAATTTAGTAGTAAAGATCGAGCCGATCAAAAGAACTGAAAAAAAAAAATTCTTCAGTGTAAAAGGTGTCAGGGATTTTAATGTGGAGGAACTGACATTAAACCAGTTGACTAATAAAGGTAAAATATTATTAAGAGACAGAAAAAACGAAACAATGAAAAATAAACTTAATAATCTATCGGATAAAAAAAATTCAGATTACTCACTATGGAAATTGCATTGAATTGAAAAAAGAATAAAGAATGCAAAGCCTTAAACACCCTCTCTAAATAAAGAAGACTCTACTTGGGTTATTTCAGATAAAGACACAGGTACTTATTTTGCAGACTATCTAGAAAATATATTTAAGGCACTTCCCCGACAAACAGCAAATGAAAATGCTTGTATCCTAGTAAACTCTTATAACTCAACAAAATAACGATGACAGAATTAAAGGAAGAAATAAAAAACCTAAACAATAAAAAGGCGCCTGAGTTTGACCTTATTTCAGCCGTTATTTTGAAAGAGATTTTCCTGATATCTTAAAAGTAGCTAAAGTTATAATGATGCTTAAACCAGGTAAACAGATCGATCTCGCTTCTGCCTTTAATTTTCAAAGTTCTCGAAAGACTACTATTGGATCACATTTTGCCAATTTTAAATGAAGCCCATATTATTCCAGATTACCAATTTAGGTTCACAAGCAATCATTCAACAATTGATAAGGTACATAGGATCACCAATGTTATTGAAAATGGCTTAGAAAGAAAGGAAATATGTTCTGCTGTGTTCCAGATGTCGTTCAGGTCCTTGATAAAGTTTGGCACAAGGGGTTTACTCTTTTAAACTACATAAAGTGCTGCCAAAATCGATTTGTATTTTACTAGAGTCATATCTCCATCGAAGAACTTTTAGGATTAAACAAAACGAAGAATATTCTGAACTAAAAGAGATACATGCAGGTGTGCTTAATTTTATTTTAAAATATAAGAGGAACTATGGATGAGTAAGTTTTAGTAAAATGTTAAATATATTTAGGTTAAAAAATGAATAATTGACGTTTATCGAAAATAGTGATGCAAAATATAAAAACAAGTTTTGTTCCTTATTTAAATATTTCTAGTATGTATTGTACGAACTTGGCTCTTCTTATAACTTAACTGGTTTTTATGGTCTTTTGATGATTACTGTTACTTTTTCACAACTTATTTATTATTTTTAGATAATAACATCATGTATGCGGCACGTGAAATAATTGTACTAAAAAAAGATTTCTGGCTATGAAGATCTGACTATGGGATGTACTTAAGCAGGTATTATTAAGTTTTTGTAGTTTTTCGTAGTATTTTGTATTATTTGTAATTCTTAATATAAATTGCATTATATATGTGCATAAAAATTTTGGCACACAAGTATGAAAGCGCGTTTTTGTACCCGTATGAACGTATGTTCGAATGATACACTAAATTTGCCTTACCATTTGTAACGCTAAGAAACAATGGTCTGAGATATAGACTCAAGTATATGTTTTTGATCAGCGTCGCATTCTGAGTCGATTTAGATTTGTCTATCTGTGTTTGTCCGTATCGTCCCAACGATAACTCAAAAACTAATTGAGCTAAGTCCAACAACTTTTCTTAAATGACTAATTATAGTAAATTCCAAAACTCTATTTAAATAGGACATGATCGAATTACTTAAACTCGAGGTTTTGGTAGCTGCCATACAATTTGGCTGTATCTAAGAAATTATAGAAGCTATCGTATTGAATTTTCGCACAAGCGATAATATATAGGGCTATTGTATTCAATGAATGTTTAGGGCAATTGAAATTGCTTGGCTCCTTCTGCTAACTGCCATACCACTTGAAAAATTATAAGTTGAATTCATCCCACAGAATGCCAAACAACTTTTTATTGGATTAGAATTGGATTTATTATTAGAAATTTCGTGAAAACAAGTGAATTATTAGGGCTGTGTGGTAAAAATCGTTGAAATTTCTTGATCCCGTGTTGTACCTGCCATACAACTTCTAAATTAGTTTGGCCATATCTTAGAAAATATTGAAATTACATGCTGAAATTATGCATAAAGTAATATGGTAAAACGGAAACTTAAATTCATAGTCTGTCCCATAGTCAGCTATGGCAAATTTAGACGCACATAGGATAACAAATCCGTACGGGTATCACATTGTTGACGCGGTCAACTATATTTTTTCTCGTGAAATAGTGAATTAACTGTCATAACGGAAGTTATTTTTGTAAAGCCATTAAATGAAAAATGTGTAGTTCGAAATGAACTTTTTTAAAAATTAAAATTTTGAAAAAACTTTAAAAAGAGAAAATAGTGACGTTTTTTCTCCCAGAGATAAAATATTCTCATTTAAAAAAAAAATAAACCAGGCGGAAAACTTGAAAAAACTTTTAAAATATTTTATTATATTTTTTCCTTAATGACAATAGATTTATAAAACACTAAATTTTGGATTTATAAAACATTGAGAAAATGAGAAAGTATTATACCACACGTTTTGCATACGAAAACTCATAAAGTTTTTAAAAGTTTGTAAAAACTTTCTTATACCAGACAGACCTTATTTACATTTTTTTTGTGTTCTATATTGTTTTCTTTTTTTGTAAAGATGTATGCATATGTACCACTTTGTTAACACAATACTGTTAATTTTATAACCCGCCTATTAAAGTCTTAACTCGGTACTTCAAAACTTTTACACTCAGCAAAAGCATTATAAATTACTTGTTTTAGGAATACTTTAAAATTAGTATATAATATTAAAAATTTTTTAGAAGATCTTTTTCAGGACCTGCGATTTTTGAGAATCAATTTCAAAAAAAAAATTCAAACAAAAACTGTCAAGATAAAAAGATTTTTGAGAAGTTTTCAGTAATATGCGACTAAATATATGTGGTAAACGTTTTAAAAACTAAATCGGAACTTGTATAGGTGCTAGCAGTTCCAGTGGGACAAACTTAATCATTTTTAAAACTGATCTGCGTTCAGTAAAAAATATGATACAAATGAATACTTCCACAACAACCAGACAAACCCCCATATAAAATATAAATATGTATAAAAATAAGAGAATAAGATACACCGGAATATAAGAATCGGAATTATATTTCAACAAAGTTTCTTAACTTTTATTGTTAAGTTTATTGAATAGGAAAATATTTTTTTAATGATGCCTTAGTATTTATTCAGTTTTGAAAAATTATACTATGTATGTGTCTGAGTAATGATAAAATCCTTAAATGATCGTTAAATGCCCACATAAACTCTAAACAAAAATCTATTTTGCTCTATTATTTAGTACACGTTGCTCGTTTGCTGTAATAATCACATAACCCAAAAAATGCGTATACTTATGTCACATAACCCAAAAAATGCTCATATACATTCTTTTTGTGCAACATAATTTTTATAGCTTAAATATTGTCGCTTACAATATATTATTACATAATGCTACTCGTATACCCAATCCCAAACTTAAATTTGTTTTTCTCAAATGTTTTTCTCAAAAAAAATAATGTCCGTGTTGCAGCAAACGAGTGATATATCCTATAATACTTAGCGAGTCCAAGAAGGTAAACAATGAACATTGGACCTTAAAAATAGATATTTCACGTTTTAATGCTATTTTTTTGCCTTACTTTCCACTTACTTTTTGTTTCAAAAATTCCAGATCCATTATGGGAACTGTTTTTGTTTTAACTGTGTCCTCAACTTGCAATAGTTCCATAGATCTGATTTCTGTAAAGCCATTTGCTTGTAGAGCTTCACAACATTTTTGTGCCTGTTCAATACATGGAGAAAATGAGCAAAACCTCCCTCCTGAAATTAAAATGCATTAAAAAAAAATGAAACGTAATATACAAGTAAATATGTACATAATTTTTTAAAACTAAAAGGTCAAAAAATTTTTTTTAATTAAATTCTATAATCATTACTTTTACTGTTTATTGTTTTCAATACCAAAAAAATTTTTTGTAATATGCCATTAAATACATCCAAATTGCTGTCATTTCATTATTGCAGTAACGTAAATTTAAATTGTATTCTTAATAAAATTTTTTAAAATGTTGAAATAAGTACATACATTTGTATGTACATACATGAATGCTTTAAGTTACTCTTGATTAAATTTGGTTATGTATACATATTTTACTATAGGTCTTGGCATGAAATCATGAGGGTTTATTGACACATTAAGATAAAGATATAAATTTATTTTAATTTTAGAAAGTTTTAGATAATTTTAAGTATGTTTGCCAATTGTAATATATACATACTTAACATATAACATACATATATGTTACATGTGTATAACATATGTATACATGAAATATATAGTTAACATATACTAATATAAAAAAACCTTATGTATTTTTAAAGTTAGTAGGTACCTAAATATTGCAATTTTTAGTTTTTTGATAAATGTGCCGATTTTAAAGAAAATAGTTAAGCAAAATTTTGTTCTTATAAAGCTAAAAATAATATTAACCTGATAACTTTAGAGCCTTTAAAACGTGTTGAATGGTCGTATGTGGCGATGGTAAGTCTAAGAACACCGCATCAGCTTTTCCATTTAATTCTTCCGTGAATCCATTTTCACATACGTCTCTATGATAAACCTTTGTGCGAATAATGTTCAATTAAAAAATTTTTGCAAAAAAATAATTTTGTATTTACTGTAACATAATTCTGAAGACCGTGTTTTTTGAATTCGTCGCGCGCTTGATTCGCTCGGAGTTCGTGAAAATCAAATGTATGCAAGTGCCCATATGGCTTAACTGCTCTAATAAAATAATGCGACAATGAGCCTGATCCCGTACCAGATTCAATAACTGTGGCACCAGGTTTAATTTCAAGTTGAAATAATATCATACTTATGTCTGGAGTGTAAATTATTTGTGTCCTGTGTGGTAATGTTTGTGTCCACAGCTCTGGATTAGCCTGCAGAACGTAAGCCCATCCTTTAGATAAAATTATTTTTCTGCCGTATTCTACCCCAATTAAATCTTTCACTTTCAAAGCACCAAAACTGGTTTGAAAAATATTTTCAATAATTTCATTCTTCTTATTAATTATAGTAGGTGTAACATCAATGGCATGCATATTTTTTGCGCTTAAATATATTATCACAGTGTCATTTTCATCAATTTTTGTTTTCGGCTTTAAAAAGCTCATGATTCAAGATAATAAATATATGTGTTGCTGTAAATAGCAGAAATTTTAAATTAAAAGAAATTTTTCGACACCTTTGAAAACAAAACAAAGAACATAACCTTAATCCTCGACATGTATTAGAATTTAACTTTTCACAATAGGTATTCACAATAAGCTAAATAAAAAAATTATCAACACAAAACTTTTTTGTTCTATTACTAACATGTCATTTTAATCGTCAATTTTTCAAAATCTACATGATATGTAAAAATCATGTTATAAAACTTGATATTACAAAAAATCTAAGTCTGAACTCTGCTTTTTTTGTGAATCTATTTCTTAAAATTGCATATGTAATTTTGGCGAAATGACATTTTTTTTTTGTTGCTTTTTTGAAAAAATTATGATTTTTGCCTATTTTCATTTCGAGTTTTTTATGCGAAAAGTTGATGAAAACTTAAAAATTTTAATAATAAAATGAAACTCGCACTTTTCTGAACAACATATCAAAAGTTCAAATTTCAACTTAAAATTTTAACTATAATTTTAATTAAATATATTTTCGAGTTTTTTTTCGCGTTTTTTGTACCGCTATGTCAAACAACATATTTGAGAGAATTGAGAGTAAAAAATGATAATACACTGAATAAAAAAAAATTTGGTATTATATTTTTAGTCTAAAGTACACGACTTAAAATGAAGTTAATAAAATTATATGGACTTTAAATATAAAAAGAAATCACATTATGCAATAATTTTTGTGAATCATGAGGCATATTAATTTAATTAATACAGTATACACATGAAAAATATATAAATACATATGAGATTATATATAAGAAGTATGAATTTTGGGAGATACATATATCATACAAAATTAGAAAACTTTTTAATATCAAATGCACATTTTCTCAAATTTGGAAAAATACACAAAAATCAACGAAATACTTCGAAAAAAATTGCATTATTTTGTTTTTTTTCTTGTAGGATAGTATTTATTGAAATCTTAAAAAAACGAACAGAACTTGGAAGATGTTTTTTAAATCAATTTCAAAAACATATTTTAATTAAATTAAAACTTTAACAATGTAAGCACTAGTATAAAGTAGAAAAAGATTGAATTTTAACTCGAGAACAAAGATCCAAAAAGAAAAATGTCACTAGGCGCTTTTAGTTTGTCTGCATGCATTCTATCACCCTGCTTCGGGAATACTATTGAGTTTCGTACACCCTGTATAAGGACAGTGCATATTTGCAACTGCATATTTGCAGCAAATTTACTCTGAAATTTTTATTTATTGTAGATATTATAGCTTTTTGAAATGAATTTGCAATTTTAAAAAACCTACTCTGTTTAAATTTTAATATTACAAGATTCAGAAATAATTTAGGGTTTTATCTACAGATTCAGTAAGTTCTTGACTGATGTTAAAAATATAAAAATAATATTAATTGTATGTAGTTGCTAGTACGTGAGGTACAAACAAATATGGGAAACAAAGTACTGTGAAAAATTAGCGGTGTTTAAAAAAAATTTATATAAGTATCCTATATCTGTAAGTACCTAAATTTATTAGACATTGACGCTTGTAACAATTCAATTACAAGCCAGCTTTGTTGATTTCTTAACAGATGTGATATGTCTTTCTAAAGGTTTCTCTTGACTAAGCAAATGTAATTTTAGGACTGCTGTTTCTTTCAACCTTCTGTTATGCAAAGGTGCATTCAAAAGATTATTTTTTAGACAATAATTTTTTTTAAAAAGAACACAATAGTGCCATTATCTGCAAATTTCAATTCCTTATTACAACATGCATTTATCCACTTATTTATCCTTCTTACAATAAAAATAATATTATTTAAATAATAATATTTAAATATTTAAATTTAAAACACGAAACATTCCTTTTTTTAAACAATTTATATTTACTTTTTACTTTTTAATGTATTATAAATTATAATTTTCACTTTTTCACATTACTGTTTGGAAGTGTCAAATTATGTTTGACATCGCTAAAATTTGAGGATTGACGCCTGTGACGTTATTGGGCACGAAGCTGAAAAATTATGTGAAAATAGTATTATTACATATTGGAGGGAAAACTATAAGTATCATCATTTTATGTTATTGATGTAGTTAATTTTGTCTAATTCGGTTTCATAACTTTGTCATTTTTCCAGTCGTGTTCAGACAGGGGTTTTGTTTTCATTTTATCCAATAATAGATAGTATATAGCTTTTGCTCTTTATTGTAGTTGCCTAAGTTTTTGAAGAAATTTAGTGCGCTGCCTATTATACCAAGCTTAGCTGCCCATTTTTTTAAATAGATACCGATGGTTAAGGATACTCGTTTTCCTGCAATAATGTTATGAGTATGATTTTGCTCCAGTTGAATATACGGATATAGCCGATGTAACGTCCTTTGGACACAAAGTTTTCCCATTTTTTCTAGTATTCTACATCACAACCTGCTTAAAATATATGTGCCGTCTTTAAACAAATTCTTGTTGTGATTTTTTCCTATTTAGCAAACAGAACAAACAAGCAGTTACCATTATGGAAATATTTTTGTGTCTACCTGTACAGTTATGAGTTATCTGTAAGAGTATTATAGCATTTTATAAGCTTTCCATTTTTATAAAAACGTATAAGAACTCAATCGTATAGTTCTGTGTGTTCACTTATCGTTGTTGTTAAATATTTTTAAAAAATTTGTGTTAATAAATAAAGTTTTAAAAGAAGAATTTAAATATATGCAACAATAGACAATATCAAATATGTTTAAAGCAAAAAATGTGAAACAGAATTTTAAAAAATGTTTATTATTTTTAAATTTACGTTCACAATTCAATATTTTTAAAAAACTGCGATATTTTTCACTTCACGAAAACGAAAATTTTAATATAAATTAAAATAAATATATTGCGTTATCATATTTATATTTCAAAGTAAATGAAACAAAAATGTACCACATCCTTTATGAGTCCAAAGCTCTTTTGATATTTAAAAAAAATAATAATAAAAATAAAACTTGTAATACTAATAACAATAATAATAATAAATAAGCAAAATATATTTATTGAAAGATAAAAAAAATAAGTAAATATTTAAAAATATTTTTATTTTTTAGTTTAAAATTTTTTTATAAACATGTTTTTCCTACATTACATTACACATATTTTATAATGGAGGCGAAAAAAAACCAAACAAATACGCTCTTGTTACGATTTTGACAACGCTTGGAACAAAGAAAGACAACTAGAAAGAATGTGGCTTTATTGTTTTTTCAAGATTCTCCTTTCTTCGGAATTAGAATTCGTTGCTGTAATTGCTGTAACTGCTTTTAAGATCGCATACATTAAAATATTGAAAGGAGGTAGTTTTTAAAATTAGAAAACGAAATGAAACTATATAAGTTAGCAGATTAAAACGAATATATTTTCATAGATGTAATCTAAACACTTCCTACGAATTTAATTTCTGCATTCATTCTTATTTATGCGTATTTGATAAAAATTCTGAAGTTTTGCAGAAAGATTTAGTTGAAGGTAGGGAATAAGGTTGATATTTTATTAAAATAGTAACTTATCTTTGACTTATTTTAAATTTATTGTTTAAAATAATGCTTAAAATTTCATTGTAGTTTGTCTATTCTGGCACAATCCGCTCCAACAAATGTAGCAACACTGCCTACAACGTATATGTATGTATAAAGAACATCGACTAATATTTAGAATTGATTAAATCATAATGCAAATAAAATTCTATAAACCTGCCAAAATAAGTTTTTCACAATAAATTAAAGCATTTTTCATAATTCTACTAAAAATGTTTTAACCTTAAATTCAAACTGACGCAATATGCGGTAATCAAAATTGTCACATTTCCGATGCGGCATGCCTAAATATTTAATCCGAAATATCTAATTTGAAATCTAATGTGAGTACGGGAATTTCTAGTATTCTCCATCATGTCGAACAGTGTTTACATGTACGACTTTTATCAGTTACGGGCCTGATCATCATCTCGCTATTTCACTCGGCAAGTTAGAACAAAGTGAGTAACTATAACGTATTTGTATATTGTAATTTTCGAGTGAGAAGAATTATGTGTTCACTTTGTTGTATTAATTGTTCACTTTGTTTTTGAAAGTTCAGTCGATAATTTGAGAAAAAATGCAAAAAACCAATTCCAAAAATGAGCTATTACAAAAATGAAATATCAAAAATGAAAGCAAATAAAAAGTGAGTAAAAAAAAGAGATACACGATTAGACTGCAATAGTCAGTAGATTTTTTGACGAACTCAGTTGCAGTTAAAAAATTTTATGTTAAATTTACATGTATGTATAATCATATGTACATATGTATATAATTTGCACGGATTTTATGCGAATGATCGCGTTTCGTTTTTTGATTTTTTTACAGTTTAAAAAAATATTTCTGAATGTGTATAATTTGCCATTTCTATAATGAAAATGAAAAAATTGTAAATATTATATTGTTTGAATTTTTTTATAAGTACAGAAGTTGAAAAATTTTTTGAATTAAAAATTTGCATAACTACTATATGTATACGTATTTTAGAAACACCCACATTTAGAGCAGACTTTGGACGTTTCAAGTTCATCCGTATGTATTTTTCTGTTCCACGATTTTTTGGGAAGTTCCCATGGTGTTCGAGGTTCTGGTATAACCTAAAAATAAAATAAAACGGGATATGAATACTGCTGAAATTTTGTCCCAGTTATTTTGTAATTTAAATTAAACTAACTTTTTTGTGAAGACCAACAACAAATTTAATTTAGGGCAATATAGATACAAATTTAATTTAGGGCAATATAGATATAGAAATTTATAACAGTAAAAACATTAAGAAAACAACCCAAAAAAATAAGAATTTTTTGAAAAATTTATGAAATTTCAACTTTCTTTGACAGAGTTGAATCCTTATGAAACTTATTTTGGTTTGTGCAAATATAAATAAAGATTTTTACTTGATTTCTTTTGAAAGGCCGACCGGAACAAGTTGGACATCTTTGAGAACCCTTTGTTCGGTTTGTTGAAATTCTTGATGAATATAATGTGCTTGGAGTTAAAATTTCCTTAGAACTGTTTATGGGAGATACGTCAAGAATTGCTGTACTTTCGATTCTACCCTTGCAGGTTTTTGGACGGTTCCATTCAATTTTTTCACGATTTAAAAAACTGAAAATTCAATTTAATGTAAAGATGCTTGCAGAGATAATTAACCACGCATTTATACTTAGGCCTTGGCTGCTGCCAAAAATTTTCCAAACGTTTGGAACTCATAATATCACCCAAGCGCTGCAACAGCCTGCAATTTTCTTTGTTAATACGCTGTAACCTTTCTGTTTCAGCCTGAATTTTTTTCCATTTAGTTGTAACATGAGGGTATTCTGTGGGACATTTATTGTCTATTGCTGGACGAGCACTTTTAACTTTTCTTCTATGATTATCAAACCGTTGCTGCTGCCATGGTCGAACAAGAAATTTATCACGTCTTGATATCATTGCAAATAAAATACGACTAAAAAAATTTTGTGTTAAAAAAATATTCACTAGTTTTTAAAAATTCTATTGCGAGGATATCTTTACTAAAAAAAAACAAATTTAACGCATATACAGAAGTAAGTACATTTAAGGTATACAGAAAAGATAGAAAAAAGAAAGGGGTTACCATGGCTTGGTTGCGTTGTTTAGAAGTATGTATTTTCTGTTATTGCATACTGTTTACATAAATATGTATTATAGATTTAATTGTTTGTTTCTATGTAAATATTCAACCTTAGCTACAACTGCATTTTATAAACTAAAATACATTTAAAAAAAAATAAACCTTAAATCATAGATATAGAATAGAGATACTGAATTGAAACATTGTTTGGTTAAATTGAAAATTAAATAATGTCGAATAAAAAAATATTTTTTTTAAAAATTACGTTTTTCTGGTGAACTGAAAAGAAGAAAATAATTTTTTTCTAGCCTAGTCTGGATTAGACTATATATATTAGATGCTTAAACCATACAAATATTTTTTGTCATTTTAGATCAAAATATTTAAAAAAATGAAAACGTGGTTCATGATTTGATGAAAAGTATGTTTTATCATATATATACTATATATATATATTTCAAGTTATCTACGCAATTTAATTATTATTGACATCCTACGTTTTCAGTTTTAAAATATTTAATTATTATTAAAATTTATGATGAAAAGAAATATTCTAATAGTTTAAATATGTAATATATATTTATTGTCTAATCCAGACTATGCTAGAAAAAAATTATTTTCAATTTAGTCCGGCAGAAAAATGTAATTTTTTTTATTCTACGTTATTTCAATCTTTTTGTATAAAACTTTTTGCATATAAAAGTAAATGGCGTTGTCGTTGCGTGGTTTCTTACCTGTAAGTTGGAGACAATCTAATTCTTTTATTCTTAATTCGTCCAAAGACTTAATTTTGCACGATGCGACACATGTTTAACCAGATTGAAAGAGTTAACGACATTTTTACTATATGGGACTTTTTACGGGATCATTTTTCAAAAAAGTCTACAACAAAACTTTCTTTTTCAAGACCTGACTATATTTTCAAGGTTGCATGACTATATTTTGTTATTTTTTGTTTCGGACCCTCTCCGGGGTTTCAAAAAAGTTTTTGAATAAAACGTGTAGAACTTTTCAGCAAATTCTTCACAATATGACATAAGATTATGTTGTATACTATTTGTTTTAGGCCTTCTTTGGAGTCTTTTTCAGGGCTAGGTACCTAATTTTCAAAAAGAAAGCTTGCAGAGCTTTCCAAGACTTTTTCTACAATATTTCTCATGACCACAATTATAATTTTTTTTGGCTTTTTACGACTCATTTAATTTACTTACTTTTCCAAGGGTATCCTACTTGACATTTTTCGCCTTCTTAGGACCTATTTAGAGACTTGGACGCTAAAAGGATCAATTTTCAGGGGGTCCTCGAATAAAATTGGTTGAGCATGTCGAGACTTTTTCAACTGTACTCCTCTTGACTACATTTAGTAGCCTTTATTTAGGCTCCAAATTGAAGCTATTTGAAGCCATCATTGAAACCTTTCAGATAAGCCTTTTTCCAGCTCTGTAGGTCATCTGAGAGCTGAATTATTAGAATTTAAAAATTTCTAAATACTTAATTATTTACAATATAATATTATGATTTCCTGACAAACAAGAAAAGAAGTTAATAAAAACGTACAGTAAAAAGTAATAAATATAATAAAGTAAGCATAAAAACAGTAAAAATAAAAAATTAAAAAAATATTTAAAACAAAATTCTACTATATGCATGCATAACACACATATTTAGGTATAAATGCACACATATTAAAAATTTCAATAAGTTAAATTTTTCGATTATTTTAACAGTATTGAATTTTTGAAAACTGTATTGATGGTTCTGATTTCAATAATATTGATAATTTAAGTACGTTGTTATAATTTATATGAAATTTATATGAGGGGCTCAAAAGCATTGTTGCATCAGCAAAATCAGATTTCTAGCTGAATTGACTCATAACAACATGTTTTTTTAATTTTTTCGTAATTAAGCTGGTTTATTACTATTTTACTTTAACTTTTTTTTGTAGGTCACGCCACTTTGGCATTGCAAATAAAAGAAATTATTAAAAAATTTGTGGGTTGATTCAAATGATTTTTGATAACGTTATATCTATCATAATACTATAAAATTAAAAGTTATTCTTAAAAATAATAAATTAATATAAAAAATGCAGCTATAAATTATTGATTTTCCGAATATGATGTAAAAACAATTTCATCGGCGTTATTTGTGCTTTTAAGATCTTCATAGAATGTGTAAGGTATTGGGGTATGAATTTTGGTAATTCCAATAAATCTTTCTTTTTTTCTGCAGACATTTTTCTTCTACAGATAAAAGCTTCTAGTAAAGATCTATGTACAAAGGAAATTTCAACTTTATACTCGTATCTTCAAGGGTGTAGAAGTTTTCTGAACAGACACACGGATAAATGCTATATGCACAGCTTTTAAATATAACAAAATATAATAATAATAATAATTACGTTAATTTAAGGGTCAAACAGGGCTGCCATAAATTTTATTTTATAAAAAATGGTACAAAAACCTAAAATCATGGTACCGCAGACGAAATGATACTTTTTTTTTTAAATTTGAGTACTCTGCAGCAATTAATTAATTCTCAATATTAAAATATTTGAATCAAATATAGTTATTCAACTAATAAATAATTCAAAAGGTTTTTTCTAAAAATATTGCAATATATATTTTTTTTTTGGCATTTTTCCATATTGAATCGAAAATATGTTAAAAAATACTTTCTAAAATTTAAGGGTTTACGAACAATCTTTCAAATACGAACAATCTTTCAAAAACAAAACGTTCAATAACGACTATTCGGAGCTTGAAAAATTTTTTACTGGACTTTTAGAACAAAAAAAAATTAAATGTTTCAAATGAAATAATGAAAAAATTAAATCTTTCCAAATTTAAGATGCTGACCAATCTGAAAGTGTGTATGTCATAATCTTTAAGAAATATTATTTAAAGATCCTACTTATATCAAAACAGAAAGTGCCACGCAGTTTTCGCAAAATATTAGTATTAATTAATTACACCAACTTCTATTTTGAAATAAAAGTTTTACCCACTACATCAGCCATACGGCTATTACGATCACCTTTATCGTGTTTATTATAAGTATAAGTATATAGTTAATTTTTCCTCTATATCATTTCTTTAGAGAAAAAATTTCTTTTCAGAAAAATATCAAAATCTAACAATTTTTAATATCAATCAAAAAAATGGTATATTCTGAAAAAATTTATTTAATAAATGGTACAATTGTAGTACAATGACAAGTCAAAATTTTCCATGATACAAGAGTCTAAAAAATGGTACAAGTATTTAAAAAGTCATTGGTCATGATGGCCATTGATTGTGAAAGTTGATTTATATAAATTTAATATGACAGTTAAATTTAGTTTAATCAGGTCAATTATTAGAATAAAATTACTAAATTAGGGTAATATTATTTTTTCTCTTATTTTTGTGGTTATGTTTAAATTAAAAACTAAAATTAAAAGAAAACATTTATCATAAAATATAAAAATAAACTATTTTTATTTAAAAGCTGTATAATGTAGCTTATCTATTTTCGGAAATACAAATTAACTCAAAACAATTAGTATAAAAAGCACAATGTGGGTTTGTGGTCTTCATTACAAACTGTAAATTTAATAAGTATGAGTAATAAATCACTTTATGAAACGAAAAATTACACAGTAATTGGATATAGAAAATAAATTGAAAATTTCATCACAATCCAATGAAAAGTCAATTAATTTTCGAATATTGATTTTCACAATCAATCAACAGCTCTTTGAGCTGAATAATAATTCAATAAGTAGGAGAATAAAAAACTAAATTTAAGAAGAAGAAGTTTGAGTTAAAAGATACTGAAATACGAGTTTCCATTTTCTTAAAAAACGCATATTTCATTTACGATTTTTGACGTATAGCATACTGAATTCTTATAAAAATTATTCGAAGAGCATTTAAAAGGCAAAGCCTTTTCATATCTTAATTTAAGTAGGTTATGTTACCATTTCCAGAAATGTGACATTCTAAACCTCTACTTTCTGACATTCACAGAAAGTAGAGATTTGGTTTTTGAACATAGTTCTTTGGAGATTATCTAATTGTCGAGTGCCTTGTGAATGAAAGTTTTCCTTAACAAAGTTTTTTAAACGAAGGTCAAACCCACATCTTTGGCTCTTTAAAAAAATTTTTGATTTATAGAGTGGAAATAAAAATTTATGTATCTAAAATTGAAACGAACTTATGGTCAGATATCCTTGCTACATGATAATATTGCAAAGGTATAGAATTAAAATTTTTGTAACAAACATTCTTGGTAGCTGGCGCTAACGTTCTTTGTTTTTTATTATTTCCTTAATATATTCGATTTTAAATATTATTTTATTATAACTGAATTGTATTATGCGTAAATTGATCGTAACAAAAATTTTATTTTAACATTTATTTTCAATATTCTAAGAACTTTATGTAAAAAGTCATAATAAATATAAAAAATTGCAATTATTTTGCTTTTACAATGATTGGCTTGAAACGTGAAATAAGTTCAGTTGAGAATACTAATTAATATGAAAATATTAGAATTTCTACGAATTAAAGCATTTAGTTAAAATTATTTTTGCAATAATACTCGTATAAACAGATATATTCCTCTATTTATCTGTTCATACATCAGAGAATTTAATATGTTTGCGTAAGTATATCTGATGTAAGAATAAAAGTATGTTTTTAGAATTTTATAAGCAATTTGAAATGTTCACGTTAAGAATTAACATAAGAACATAAATGTATAAATTCAATTATTCATCCCCTATAAAACACAGACTTATACTATAGAAACATCTAAAATATTATTATTTTTTTACACTGTCATGGGTATA